GCCTAACATAAACACAATCTGAGACACCATGGACCATCATTACCAGCTCCTCCCATGTGTGGATCATCACACCACCACCTTGAAGAAACGTTGAATGTATCATACATGACCATCACAAGGGGGAAGTATTTTTGTAACACATCATTGACCAGCTGAAAAATGCTTCCCTCACAGGTTGTAGACATGTTCCCCGTCCCCAACACAGAGCACATTACTACAGAGTGAGTGCGACTTACAGAAGATTGTCATTAAGGGAAGACACGGTGAAATGTTTTACTAAAATCCTCCGTACTGTTTATTTAATCCCTTCCATGATGGCTGCCTGGATAAAGACTCAACACCACCCATAGAAATCATGGTCCTACAAAATTATCAAAAAAACACGTGTTTAAAGATTCTGATCTGTAAAGTTTCAAGAATGTTTACAGTTATATTTACAGGGTTATTTACTAACGCGAGAATTCACAGTGACTTTCAAACTCCAGTCTGAGGAGCCAAACTGAAAGCATAGTTAACTTTTTTTAATTTTTAAAGGTCAGCACTTTTAATTCCTAAATTTGAAATTCACTTTGAATTCTCCCTTTAGTAAATAGCCCTGTTAGTCTGTACAGGTAACAGGTCTCCCTGCATGCGCTGATAATGGCCGTGTGCGTGTGATAATAATAATAATAATAATAATAATAATAATGGCCGTGTGTGTGTGATAATAATAATAATAAAAATAACGATGACCGTGTGCGTGTGGTGATAATAATAATAATAAGTGTGATAATGTCTGTGTTTAATGCGCTTGTCGAAGAGACACATTGCCCGCCACGCACATCTTGTGTCAGAAGATGGGGTGCTGGGCACATTGATCACACTGAGTAACCCCGGTGTTATTAGAATCACTGCTGGTGGGATATATTTTTACAATTTAAAGGTGTGAAGACCTCCAACAAGGCTAGCTTGGCCTAGAATTTCCAGCCGTTGTTTTAACTCTCCAACACTGCGGTTTTATTGAATCCTTCACCTATTCGAATCCTATGTCACTGTGTATTTATTCCATGATTTCCCACAAAAGGCGAGATTAAAGTTCTAACAAGCTCTCACATTTCAGTCACCAAACCCAGCATTTTGTTTGCTAAATTGAGGATCGCCAGGAAATCAAAGTGAATTCAAAGCGAAATTTCACAATTTAGGCCAAAATAGTAAATTTAGAGAAATTCTCCATCAGTTTTGTTTGCAGTTTGGCTACTTTGGCCTTATGTTTGAAATTCCCTCTGAATTCTTACCTTAGTGAATAACCCAGCAATCGTTACTTATGTTAGTGAGGTTAGTGTTACCAAGCCGTTCTGGCAGTAATAATTAGTAGGAATTGCCGATTTCATTGGTTTTTGTTTTAAAGAGTTTGGCTGAAAACAATCTGTACTTGTGGTTGGATTATCGCGTTTCCAAATCCTGCTTTGTTTTCTTGGAACACAGCTGTGTATAACGATTTACTGAGCTCATTCCCAGCTGGAACTGGAAGTAAAACACATTTAACAAGTGATTAAACATGTGAACAGTCTGCTTGGCTTTAAAGACACGGCCTGCTTGGTTATCCTTCTCTGTAAAAGCACTCGGGATGATCCCGGTGACAGCTGCCGAGTGCAGACCTTCGGTGTTATTGGTTGGGGGGTTCTTCCTGGACTCAATACCCCCCATCTGGGATCCTGTACTTACCGTTTTATCATTGGATTTATATGGGCTACTGACATGGCTGTGAAATGCATGGGGGCTACAAATCTTTTCTTTATTTTCAGATAAGTGAAGGGAACAGCCACATGTGTCATCCCTCAAACTAATACTATGTTCCAAAGGCTAATCTGATGACATCCAGTGGGAGATGGACACTTTGTATTTCACTGTTCTAAACGTTCGGTTATTTTGTTAGATATAATTATGCCTGGCACCACATGGGATTAGTTTATTAACCCTATACATGTGCAGACTTTTATAATGTAATGAAATGGAACCCACCCTTTTCCTCCCCATTTCATTATAGAATCGGTCATCTATCACTATGCCAGAGTGAACCTTTAAATTGGTAGTTTTTTTTAACTTCTACTAATTTACTGACAATATAGGGTATGGTTTTAACCCTCCGGTTTATTGGGAGGTTTCGTTATATCTCTCCTTGTTTTGGGTAATTTGAATTGTTACAATTCCATACCGTTTCTAAAGGTCAGCTACTGCTCGTGCTGACACTAATTTAAAATTCTTGATATTTTCCGAGGCCGGATAAAGTAAGTGAATTAATTAACACTCGCAGTGCTGTACACGTGTGGTGCATGTGTGAGTACGGCTATGCTGGAGGAAATACAATCGTGCGTGTGTACACAATATTCCAAGGCATCACGTGTGGAAGTGTCGCAGAGGTAATTTATTTCTTGCCTTTATTAGGAAGGAGAAATAGAGAACAATCATCCTCTGGAAGTGACGATTTATCTTTAACCCCTTAAGGACACATGGTATGTGTGACATGTCATGATTCCCTTTTATTCCAGAAGTTTGGTCCTTAAGGGGTTAAAGGCACGCAGTAAGCACCGCCACCGTACAGCGTTATGTAGTGATTATGGTGACTGTCACAATGATCCCAAGGCCACCCCTAGTGGCTGCCACTCAAACAGTCAGTCACTCCGATACCCAGTGGGGGGGATTCCTGGCACAGTCCTGCACTTTGTAAGATCAACGTTTGGCTCTTCAGGCTCTGCACCAAGATGCAACGCTCCCCATAGAGAGGCATTGCGTTAATATATCTCGATAAAGATTGGCACAGAGCGGTGGTTTTTAGTCATGTGCCGTAATCCCCCAATTCTTCTCTGGGGTAAAGCATTGGATTGAATGTTTTGGGGTTCAAGAATATAAAGAGACAGTGAAATACTCAAACTGTTAGAGATACATGCATTATATACTTATTAAATAGTGTAATTCTTTATTTTGCTGCTGGTGTCCCACTCCCTATGGTTTTGGGTAACCCAAAGTCTTGTACACAGAGCACAGCGTCTAATATTGGATAGCACAGTGCGCCACCTAGTGTCAGTGTTACAGTATGGCTCAGTGAGAAGATCTCCCCTGCCAGGACAGACTATACAGGCAGCACGTGGCTTTACCCGTGGCTGCCACTAACATTATCTGTACTGAGCACCATGTGGCACTTACTGCTCCTATAGTGACAGTAACAAGTGGGAGAGTTTAACAAAGGATGTGTTTCTATGTTAGTGTGAAAGGGTTAAGGACTTGGTTCACTCACCAGCAGATCTGATTCATGCTATTCAAGTAGTCAAAAAGGGGTTAATCTGGTTCAAACTGACATTTTATATAATTTTCATAAAAAATTGAAAGCACTGATTTTCTCAATATTTGGCCAACTTACTCGTATTGCGTGAGTTTGGATTTGTGGAATCATCGTCAGCTCTGACTGGCCCTGACGCTGGCACAGATATGCCCACTTGGCTGGCGTGCATGAATGCCATGTACTAGGCCTGTACTATAGATCGATTGGCAGCTTTGTGCAGAGTATACAACCAAAACATAAAGTGGAAAACACGCAGAATATGTAAAAATATATATAAACAAGTTAAACAACATGAAATCAGGTAAATATCCGTGGATATAATCTGTATCAAGAATCAAAAGGCTGACATAGCGCAATACAGTATTAAATGGAGTGTGTGATAAATGTGGTAATGAGTGCACTCACAAACAAACTTGAAATCAAGCTTCTCACCCTCTCAGGGGTAATATGATGTATGATGAATATGAACTTGAAATATCATCCAATGGAATATATATAAATAAAGGAAATCAGATATAGTGAAGTTTGTTATAAAAATACAAAATCACATTTATTGGTCGCACTTACACATAGGAATATTAAGAAGAGCGTGTCTCCATATAACATGGAACTTCTGTACAGCGTGGTAAAAAATCCAGGCGAAAATCCAGGAACAGGTTTATGGAACCGCCAAATACAGGTAAACAATAAAATACAAAATAAAAGAACATAAATTAAAAGTCCATAAGGAGGAGAAAATCCAACGCGTTTCGTCCAGTAGAATATGGGACTTCCTCAGGGATATTGCTGTATTCGTCCTTATGGGTATATATAATGCAGGTAATCTGAGTTGATTCGAAACATCCAGTGCTTGGCATGCGTTCCATCCATGGAACACAAAAGGGCACAAAACCATCTGTATTCTAATGGAAAAATAGTTCCGGAATGCTTGCCGTGCGCATCTGTCCCACATTACGGAACTATTTTTCCATTAGAATACAGCAATACAGCAAGCTATAAAAATTTGTTTTTTTCATCTTTGCCCATTTTTCCCATCTCTCCAGCTTGCCTCTAGCCATGTCAGAGCACAAACCCTCACCAGAAAATGTGGAAAAAAGTCACCGAATCGGTGGCACATCCAGACATTCTATCTCCATTTAACCGCACTCATCATGTAGAGAAGTCAGCGTGTACATTCTATCAGGTTCTGAGACGGTTGCCTCACTCACTCACTCAGTTCTGGTTTTTCCTTTGTCAATGCCACCCAATGGTTTTGAACAAGTAAAAGTATAATGAGGGGCGGAGTTAAGCTGTTGACCAAGCAAGTCACATATTACATGGGCTCCGTGCTGAGATCCGTCTCAACCGACCAAAACACTGATTGCCGAGCCATTAAACGGCGGAATACACTTACCAAATCAAAATGGGTCTCAAGACAAAAAAAACACGAGCAGACAAGCCTGGATTGGGCACGCACATCGGAGATCTGTTCCGCTGAGTGCAGGGTGCTTATGGGCCCAAGATGGCCGCCGACCACAATGTCTTCTCCGATTCCTCTGAGGAGCTGGCTCTGGATAGAGGGAGCTTGGGGTTGCTGGCACCCACACAACCAGCAATGGTCCCTTTGAGGGGAGACTCTGCGGGAATACTGAAGGAGATGCTGGAAGCTCTCCAAAAAAACCCTCCAGACGAATGTCGCCCACTCCGCTCCAACCTAACGGGCCTGGTAGGCCATTTGGAAAAAGTCGAAACCACCGCAGAGAGGCAGGTGATGGCAGAGCTACAGCAGGAAGTACAAGCACTTAAGCAACAACAGGCCCTTACTGATCAGCGCTTTGCCACCCTAGAGGACATATGGCGCCAAAAAAGTCTAAAGCTCAGGGACATACCAGAGGAAACTCTGATGGCTGAACTCCCACACCTTTTGAGACGGATGATGGCACCCAAACAGGCTAAGAACTGCTGGCACCCAAACAGGCTAAGAACCTCACTTTCAACAGGGTCATTCGAATCCCAAAAGCCTGATGCGCGCCGGCAACAGCACCTAGGGATTTAGTGGTGTGATTCCACGATATGGTCGACAAGATGGCGGTCCAGGCTGCACTAACGTATAAGACCCCATTTACGTTCGAGAACATGACACTTACATTTTACCAGGATCTCTCCGGAGAAACTCTGATATGGTGCAAATCAATGCAGCCCTTCACTGCCCTGCTCAGAGCTCACAGCTTGCAGTACCGATGGCGGTTGCCACGGTCCCTACAGATCCAGCAAGGAGAAACCATCCACATGGTGGAGGACCTGCGTGAAGCCAAGATGCTCCTGAGAACCTTGGGCCTACCAGAGGACTCTTTGCCACAGTCTGGACATCCCAGGGCTACAGCAACCCCTAGATGGGACCCAGCGAAAGTTCAGTCATTCACACCTCGGAGGGCACTCTTGGACACTCATGCCACTGTCATCACCTGAGGACAGAGCCCTCTCACCTGCTACTTCCTCCCACTCCTCCACAACGGGTGTGGGGTTCCCACTTGGTTTGAACTTCACTTATGTTTAAGTTTAATTCACTTATGCTTATTTAGAAATTAGCACAAGTACGACTGATTACCTGTTTTTTCTTTGTACCAAGATGTTACCAAAAGTTTAATAGATGCCCGCACACACACGCTGCCTGCGACAAACAGCGCACACCAGCGACCCAAAGGAGAGTTAAACCTTTAGCCATGCTCACATCGTGGCCATGGCTGCAGCCAAAGGCACCCCTGAACCCCTACAGTACAGCAAAGCCGACTAGCCATTATACCACGAAAGGTTGGTTCCTTAAACATCCTAGTCACTCACGTACTAATCCCCCCCCTTGTCATAACCCAAACAATTTTTAACCAGCTAGCTTTAGCATCCCACCTTATGAATGACAAAGCCGACACCTCTAATCTATGGCGCAGCTAAGCAGCAATCCATAGGTAAAACCCGCATGAGGCTGATAACCAAGCTGCCCAGCACGATGAGTCGCACACAACCCATAGGCCCACTATTTAGACAACAATACCTGTAAATAAACTGGCTAGTACAGTGTTGTACATACGGCATCAGACGCCACACACTTGTGGGCACTACATAAAGCAATGTAACAAAAAACAAATTGTGCTTTCAATCTAATGACGGTCACCATTTGTATACTATGTCGCTTGTTCGTGCTGTTGGGTCATCACTGGCCTGTTTTGTTGTGATTATGCAAAAATAAAGAATTAAAAAAATACAATAAAGAAAGTTTAATGAGTGTGAATTGGGACTGCAGAACTTCCAGTTCTATTAGATCTCGTGTTCATTTCTTTTCTAGTCAAACGTTACCAGCTGCTGGTTCAGTATGGCAATAACATGCTGACAAAGTTCTTACCACTAATTCAAAGCTGTCCAACTGGCAAACGTGGCTCTCCAGACTATTAGTAGTCCATGGCCACCACTCTTTTTTGCATTCTTTTTTTTCATTTTAAACTTATTTTATTGAGGAAAAGGCAGCAACAATGGATCACGCGATAATTCAGCAATGAAACTATTAATTTTTTTATTTATTATATCTTTATTGAAAAATCTTAATTGTTTTTTTCTCCATTCTCATATTGTGTACGTACATTGGAATAGTAAATATTTTACATATATCATTGTTTGTGTGTCATTTAGTAATGAACAATCTGAAAGTCAATTTATTTTATACAGTAAATGGACCGAGACAAAAAATACTGTAAAACCTTCATCCCCCTCGTCTTCCGCTCTCCCTGCCCCCGTCCCGGCCCTCTTCACCTCAACCAGGAAACTAGCACAGGTAAGTCATCAGATTATTTTTCTAATGGTTTAATAAAAACCGACTCTGGAGGAATCTGCTGGATTAACTGAATCCAGGAGAGAAATACTCTACAGGGTGTTAATCATTCACATTCCAACACATTATTTAATAAGGAATGAGTTCTAATAAATTGCAACAATTAGACGAAAATCACAGAATTTGAAAATATCTCAAACTTCTCTTTTTTCATTGTGGCTGTTTATATTCTCAAACTTGGCTCTGTTGGCCTAAATGTCGAGACTTGGTTTTACATTCAACAACATTTAACGTTCCGTTAATAAATCCTGTGACATGCCTACTATTGAATATTCTGACCTCATTTGAGGTGACAGGCGAATGTGCTGCAATGTACAAAATAAAGAAAAGCTCCCACTACTCCTGGACAGCAGGAATGATTACAATACCCATCAGCCCCAATACATACAATAATTTTAAAAAAAACTGCCACGTCAAGGCAATCCTCTTGTGAGTCCTACACTGACATTTCCCTTTGCTGCCCAGGAGTAGTGGGGGTTTAATTTTGCAGATTTATATTTGCTTTTATATCACACAGCCATGTTACAATGCTGCCGTCCACCCCATGCGTTCCCTTGCCTTGACTTGGCAGCTGAGCTTACACTTTAACGGCCATTGGAGTGGAACTAAAAACCTCCAGATATTTAAATGTGCTGTGTGAAAGTCCTGTAATAGTTTAATAATTTATCACATGAATAATAAGCAGCGGATTGGTAATTGTATAACAATATATTCCTCTCCCTCTTCCATCGGCTCACTCATAACGTATCATTGGGAATTAACCTGTAACATTATCCCTGATACAGCAGACAATTCCCCAACCCCACACTATGCACTACCACTCCTGAACCCCCAGACAGCTTGATAGAATGGCATTTTCTGTTTCTTTTTTTAAATCAATATTTTGTGTTCGCTTTTCAGTGTACCCTCTTCTTACATAAGTAAATTTGTCCATATACAGAAAGCATTTCTTTGTGGTTTTAGCCTCTGATTCTCACCCAGACGTTGTTTTTGACTAGAAATGCAGAATGAAGCGGCTCAGAGAAGTTTGCAGTGAAGGTGTGTCAGTGTTGGATTTGGTCACATATCTGGTAAAAAGACATCCAGACGGCCTCGTAGTCCAGATATATCCCAACTACCTGCAATGGAGAATCCAAATTTAATGGTTTGACTTTAGAGTTGTATATCATTGAATAATCCCTATCATGTTGACGCAAACACCAGGATTTGTTATTGTAGCGAAGGAAAGACGTGTTTCCTTTCCTGTCTATACTGGGATAGGCCATGCCAACCATCCAGTTCCCTAATTCACTGGTCTCCACTTCCCAGTAATATCGTCTTGAAGAAAACACATTCCTGCTCAAAATCTGGTAAAAATAAAACTTTTCCCGTGATTCTGGTCTCTCCTGGTTCCTATGTGTCCAGAATGCAGATTTAAAGTCACTAGAGACAATTATGTAGTCACCTGCAGTGTTTACATCCAAGGATATCCTGGGCATGTAAAACGCACTCTTTGCTTGATTTACGAGATCAGTCAAGACAAGGTGTATAGTCGCTGTGATCTGACCTTCATCTAGATAACCATTTGCCCTGGCACTGATACTGTATCTCTTGCTGCCCTCCCTGTGTTGCTACCCCATGTCCATATCAGCTATCTCTTGATCCCATCCTTCCAAGACAGCTACAGGGTCAGTCAGGTTTTGCAACCCCTCAATAATTTGGATCTTCGTAGACAGCTCCTTCTTCTTTTTTTGCAGTTGTTGGATTAGTTCTGAGACTTGGAGGACCATTTGATCCTTTTTCCTGGAGATCTCTCTATGAACTTGTTTCTCCTGGACATCCAGCTGTTCTCAAATGCCTTTAACCCCTTAAGGACTAATGACATGTGTGACATGTCATGATTCCCTTTTATTCCAGAAGTTTGGTCCTTAAGGGGTTAAACATTGCTGTGACTTGGTCTTCTACAACACGTGCATCTACTCTTGCAGACTCTGGAATTCTCTCTCCATGTCCTCTCTCTCTGGAGTCAGTTTCTCCAAATGATGTTTCAGCTTTTTCTTCTTCTTGTCAGAGGCCTCAGATAGAGTCTCCACCTTGTGTCTTTTATGTTCTCCATCCAGCCTGCAGGACACACAAATAAAGGCCCCGTCCTCAGAGCAGCAATATTGCAGGACCTTCTTGTGGACAGAACACTTTCTGCTCTCGAGGGAAGGGGTTGGATCAACTAATACATGCTCCAGTGATTTATTGTGTATCATAAAATGGGTATCACACATGGAGGTGTCACACTGCAGGCATGTCTTAGAAGCATCGATACAGTATGTACAGAACACTAAGTCCTCTTCTTGTCACTGTGGAACATCCATGTCACACTTTGTGCTGCTACTTAGTGTCCCCAAACCAGGATGAAAAGGAAATAGTTTTCTGAGCTCTGGACAGGTCTTTATTCTAGAGTCCTCCTGTGTATAAGAAAACTCATGTAACTTCCTTGGCAGAAGTTATGCCTTACAGGATCTGTTTGAAAATTCAGGTAGACAAAGCAGTTAAACTTCTCTTTAATGTCATCAGGTAAAATCTTCAAACCAAAGAATAAAGGAATGAGGCCGAACCAATGCATGTATTTCCCCCTTTGTTTAGAAATGCAGTGTGACTTGTTTGACTTTTGCCATAAGTCAATATTTTAAACAAAGCTATTTTCTTTTCTTTTAACCCTGTACAGTTTTAAAAAACAACACACCAAAAACTTTGGCAAGCTTGACAAAGCCCATGTAAGAGGTCAAAACGTTGCTGTGTGCACTATGGGCGCTTTAATAACGGGATATTGGACTCTTTAGCGTGTCTGGGCTGCTTCTTTCGTTTTTGGATTTTATAGAGTGATTTTGTATTAGCTAGGTGCAGGCGTACAGAGGATAAAGGTGGTGGTCAATCCATAATGCTGGGATCTTTAAATTACAGCTGTTACTGATTTTAGGTAGCGTTTATTCATTAAACAGTAAGTTTACAATATACACCAAAATATCCAATTTACAGGAAATCTGACAGTTTTCCTTTTAACACCTGCCCTAATTATGGTTTGCATTCCTTTACAGGAAAGCAACGTTATTTGCTTTTTAAGAAATTTGCATAAACTACCTGTAACATGCTGTGTGTGTCAGTGAGCTTGTCTGTAGTGAGCATGTGTATGTGTCAGTGAGCTTGCCGGTAGTGAGCATGTGTGTGTATCAGTGAGCTTGTCTTTAATGAGCTTGTGTGTGTGTCAGTGAGCTTGTCTGTAGTGAGCTTGTGTGTCAGTAAGCGTGTCAGTGAGCATGTGTGTTTCAGTAAGCTTGTCTGTAGTGAGCATGTGTGTGCCAGTGAGCTTGTCTGTAGTGGGCATTTGTGTGTGTCAGTGAGCTTGTCTTCAGTGAGCATGTGTGTGTCAGTGAGCTTGTCTGTAGTGAGCTCTTGTGTCAGTAAGCTTGTCTGTAGTGAGCGTGTGTGTGTCAGTGAGCTTGTCTGTAGTGAGCTCTTGTGTCAGTAAGCTTGTCTGTAGTGAGCATGTGTATGTCAGTGAGCTTGTCTGTAGTGGGCATTTGTGTATGTTAGTGAGCTTGTCTGTAGTGAGCATGTGTGTGTCAGTGAGCTTGTCTGTAGTGAGCTCGTGTCAGTTAGCTTGTCTGTAGTGAGCATGTGTGTGTTAGTGAGCTTGTCTGTAGTGAGCTCTTGTGTCAGTAAGCTTGTCTGTAGTGAGCATGTGTATGTCAGGGAGCTTGTCTGTAGTGGGCATTTGTGTGTGTTAGTGAGCTTGTCTGTAGTGAGCATGTGTGTGTTTCAGTGAGCTTGTCTGTAGTGAGCTTGTGTGTGTGTCAGTGAGCTTGGGAATGTGTGTCAGTAAGCTTGTCTGTAGTGGGCATTTGTGTGTGTTAGTGAGCTTGTCTGTAGTGAGCATGTGTGTGTTTCAGTGAGCTTGTCTGTAATGAGCATGTGTGTGTGTCAGTGAGCTTGTCTGTAGTGAGCTTGTGTGTGTGTCAGTGAGCTTGGGAATGTGTGTCAGTAAGCTTGTCTGTAGTGAGCATGTGTGTGTCAGAAGCTTGTCTGTAGTGGTCATTTGTGTGTGTCAGTGAGATTGTCTTCAGTGAGCATGTGTGTGTGTCAAGGAGCAAGTACAAATTTGAGCTGTATGCAAAATGCAAAATGAAACTATGCTACATAAAATATTGCTTGTTTAACTAATAGATGCGGCCAGACTCATAATATGAATATTCGTAACAAATAGATTTTTCTTTAAGGACATACTCTACTAGATGTCACAATGCTCTTAAATAACTGCCAATTTACTCCACAAATAAAACATGTATAGAAATATAAACACTCTGATCAACAAAGATAATGCACTAAACAGATGTTTTGTGGGCAATGTATTAGATCCAAATAAACCCGTAAGGCTTGTCTCCACCGTAAATGAACTACTCCAGGATTTATCGTCTTGCCATACTTTACCTTCATGTCCCATTCCACTATTTCACCCTATTTAACCCCTTAAGGACCAAATTCTGGAATAAAAGGGAATCATGTCATGTGTCCTTAAGGGGTTAAACATCAACATCATCTTTATCCCCTTTACTGCTAAATTTTGATTTAATTTTCTTTTTGCTTAAAAAAATCATAGTATAACATTTATTTACAACATGAGAGGCATTGGACAAAACCATAGGATAAAATAGCAATTTTTATTCCGGGACATAAAAAAGTAAAACTATGAATATATACAAACATTTGAGATCAGAGGACATAGAAGCAAAAATCTTATGTTTGTGACAAAAAACTATGAGTACAATAATAAAATACACAGACTATGGATATATCTAAGGAATCTGTCATTTTATTATAATTGTTTTAAATGGTTATTCCAAGCACATTGACAACCGCAGTGAAGTGGTTATGGTGCTGGGAGACTGTATGTGTTTCAATATGAAATACAGCAAATGAAAAGTTAACACCCTATGCTGCCTGAAGTGTAACTTAATCTCCAACAGCATCCTTAAGGCGTGATCCTTTATGTTGTGATTCCTTATGGCGTGATTCCTTATCGTGTGATTCCTTATGGCGTGATTCCTTATGGCGTAATTCCTTACGGTGTGATTCCTTATGGCGTAATTCCTTACGGTGTGATTCCTTATGGCGTGATCCCTCTCATCCTGGGCTGGGTAATGTCAATTATGTGAGCCTGACATTTGTAATCAAGACGCACCAATGGAGGCACAGTCTCCACTTTCTCTCCCCACCCTGTGCTGCCACGGTTTGCCCTCAGCCCCGTTCCCTGGAACATACATCCCTGAAAGGAAGATCAGGAGGCAGGGAGAGCTTGGCTTCTGTGTATTACAGGTAAGTTCTAAACCTATTTCTTTCTTTTTTTTTGTTTTCATAGCCGTGTTAGCACGGATTACTTTAAAACATTGTTTTTTGGTTGGAGTAACATTTTAATACTATTTCTTATTGAACACCTCCTTCAGGCTTTGCAGGGCTTCTTCTCTGTCTATTCGTTTCCATGCCTTTGGCAGGACAGCTGGTTTAGCATTATATTCTTCTGCAAACTGTTCATTAAACTTCACAAAAATGTATTTCCAGTAATCGGAGGACTCCGTGTTGGGGTCAGGATCTATCGACCAGTCTGGGTATATTAAATGGTAGTCCTTGAATGTGTGAAATTTGCCACCTGTATCATCATTTTTAAATGTCTTGCCCAAAGCAACGCCAGTACAGCATATGTTTGTCAATAAGACGTTAGACTGTTCATTTCTATATCCTACCAGTCCTAGAGGTCTGTGGATTGATGTGAAGTGCTCCGTATGACCCGAGCCTCCTGCCTCACACGGGACTTTACAGAACGGACACCGCTTCCCACATCCCATCACCTTCTTCAGCAATTCATGCTCTGGCTTCAATGTAGCCTTGTACAGAACAGATTCAATGCCCAAACACTGAATTTCTGATAGAATTTGTTTTTCTGTTTCTGATACATTAGTCTGAAGATCACTACGGAACTGGGCAACATCTGAGTGGTTTCCAAAAACGACCAAGTCCATTTGACTCTGTGGAATGACTAATTCACATTTTAACTTCTCACAAATATTTTCTAAATACTTTACTATGTTGGGACTTTCCAGACATTGTTCACATCTGAGAATATCTTTTATTTTTTTGATAATATGAGACAGAATCTTTGTTTGTAACATTTCTAGCTGGGAAGATTCCTTATATTTATCATAGATGTATCTTAATATCCAGCTTTCTGCAAAGATCTCATACGAATTAATGTATCCGATAAAATTGTAGACTTTCTCTGTCTTTAACAAACTCTGCAGTGCAGTAACTTGGAAACAACATCTACTATTAAATATGAGACTGTCAGAACTGCCTAAAATATCGTCCACTATTTCTTTCCCGAGATGTCTGTGAATGTACTCGGTTAAAGCTGGCCTCAGGCCAAGGTCACAAAACTGTTTCACTTTCTGTTGGGATTGGTCTTTCACTTGGTACATGCTAAGGAAACTTGTAAAATATTGACCTTTTGACTTTTCCAAGCAGGAGTTTGGATGTTTCTCCTGGATGAAGTCATCATGCATCTTCTGAAACCTCCGAGATGCTTTACGAAGAATGACAATTTTAATATCTAACTCAAATATGAGGGAAAATGGAATTGTTTTACGGCCTTTATTCCTCAGTCTATTATCGACCATTTGTAGCAATTCCTGTCCGTACGTGTTGTCATAGTCAGAACTTGTACTGACCTTGTTTGTAATATACTGATCACAAATCTCTATTAGTGACAAAGCTAATTGTAATACAATATCAGGACAATCCTGGCTGATATAGTGCCTGACTTGTGTAAATGATGACAAAGAGAAATCTATATATTTTTTCTGCATTTGGAACGTCGTGTCACCATACTCATCTAAGGCTTTCAGGCCAAGCAATATTTCATCTATCTCAGGTCCTTTGTGTTTCATGTTCCTGTGCAGGTGATGGAGCATGGATTGGCTTATATCAAGTCTCTGTAAAGATTCAATCTGTAAATCTGAGATAAATGTTCTCCACATGGTCTCAAATTCCTCTTCTAATTCTCTGTCACCGAGCCGTTGGTTTCTCTTTTGCCAGATTTCTAGGAAATTAATAATTTCTGATTGAATCCTTTTCTGGTGACACTGAATCTGAGTCTTTACATTCGGTGCTTGGAGCGCCTTCATACACCTGCTGGTAGCACTTCTTTCAAGGTCGTCTTTCAGATACTTTATACATGAAATAAAACTTTTTTTGTACTTTTTGATAAGAACATGTTCAGAATTAGTTTTAAAGAAAGTTTCTAACAACTCTGATATTTTTCTTCCTTCTGCAATTAGCACCCCGTGTAGCTCATTCGTGTACATCTCTAATGCTTCTGTCTGCAATGTATCTGCTGATTGATTCCTAATTAATGTCTCAGTATTATTTACCCAGCTGTGCACGGCTTTGGTAAATTCCCATTCCCATTGGGAGAACTGTACAGACAACTTGTTATAAGCTTTGGCCACCAGACTGTTTCTGAAACTGAATATAAACTTCTCATGCTTTACTTCATTCCACAGACTGTTTAGCCATATGATAAATTCCTTAATGTTGAAGGACCTGATTGCAGATATATGGATTCTCATTATCTCAAGTAAATACTGTTTTAAATCTGAAACACTTTCACTGTAAACAGTATTTACCGCAGCCATTGGTGGGACTCCATGCCATCGGCTGGGAATATACCAGTTGTCTTTCTCTGGTGCGTAGTCCGTCACATCACTAAATTTTGTGAACCCATCTTTGTTCTCTCTCTTTGCTGCAATGTTGGTAATTTCATCCAGCTGTTCCGAAAACCGCTCTCTGACATTCTTCTCATAAGAGGACACTTCGCTCACTTTCTGATGAACAAACAGGCATTTTAATTCCTTTCCTTTGTCTTTCATCCTCATAAGCACATGAACTACAATCTGTAAGGTGTTCTTTGTTTCTGCTGAGTTCTCCATGGCCATGTTAATAATGGTGATATCACTCAGCCCGACCACTAACGTTGCCAACTCATTGTCATGTTCATGACTGTCCTCCAGAGAAGCCAATTCAAGAGCTTTAAGACCTTCAGTATCAATAGCCAGAATAAAGTCACATCCCAACTCCTCCTGGACATTCTCTTTTACTTTAATAAGGGTCATGAAAGCCCCTCGTGTGCAACGTCCACTGGCCACTGGGAACTGCAAACCAAACATGGTATTCAGTAGGGTTGATTTTCCTGTACCCAGACCTCCCAGCACAGTGATCACTCTCATTCTGCATTGTCCTCCAGTCTTGGTGTCCAGCTCAGTCAGGACATCAGTTATCCACCGCATAGGGATGTTAGAGGCATCTCCATCAACCAACTCCAATGGGAACCCACCCAGCAGGAGATCTGCAGCTATTCCTGGGAGTCTGGAATACGCCCTGTGGGTTTTATTAATCCTGGCACATTCAGCCTCATAGAGCTGAACCATCTCACGGATGAAATGTTCAGTTCCCAAACAACTGTCAGATATTGTCTGAGCTAGCTTTTTTAGTTCTTCCATATTGTTTTGTGGGTGTTTGTATTTCTCATTGTATTCCTCTGTAAAGACTAAAAGATTATTTCTAACCAGTGAATCAAGATCACATTTCAGCCATTTCAAAAAGTAATGTTTTTCGATGTGGGAAAAATTAACAAAACAAGTAATGAAGAGCAATATGCTATTGGGGGGGTTATGGCGATATTGCTTTTCCTGCAGTGAAGTGAGCTGATGTTTCAACTGATTAAGATATTCTTGTGTATTTTTGGATCCTCTTTGTCTCATTCTGCAAATTTCTTTTTCTATTTCAGATATTTTTTTCCAAAGATCCCTCTGAAGACACATTGCTTCCCTCTTATACTCAGGGACATAGTGTATCCCTTTGGTTATTTTCCCAGCATACTCTCTGGCATTACTGCATTCTAAAGGGTGTTCATCTACACCGATTCCAAGTCCATTAGTCTGTATACTAGCGTTAGACTCCATATTTTCTATTGTTATCCTTTTGGGAGAGTTGTTTATGAAAAAACTGATTCTAGACTGAATTTTCTCCACCAGTATTGTGTCATTATCGGTCTTCTTTTTTATTATTGTATAGATATTTTTGGACACAGATATACGTTTTTGCAGAATCTGAATTGTCTCTGTGGTTATATCTTTGCCAGGACTCGGAGTGATGATGAAATTATATTCTGTGTCTTTGTTTTCACAGTTTGATAACAATCTGAATTCTCTCTCCCCAATGCTCTCAGTAAATATAAACACAGCTGATGAGACCCGGGTTAAGAAGATGAACTGTGTCCAGTTAGACTCCAGGTCTCCTCGTAGATTGGTCACTGCGATCGGCACTGGAAATATGTCACAACATTTACTTCTGGTAGGAAAATACCAGGAGATTTCCACTAGTCCATCTGATATTTTCCTCTCAATATTCCCCCCTTTCATGTCATAATGTACAAAAAATTCATGCTGTGCTGAGCTGAGAACCTGATTCAGGATTTTAGATTTGGATAATTTGTTTTTCCCCAGTCTGACAAAAGAGAAGGTCGGCATGGTGATATTTACTACATTTTCTTCTGTAAACCCTCTACTGTCTACTAATGAGTGGGGTCTCCATCTCTTCACAATGTCTCTCATTGCCCATAGCATGAAGGTGCAGTTAGATCCATCACCAGTAGGGAGCAGCAGAGGGACAGCAAACTGGCACATGGACATCTTGGTTACAATTTCCTGTTGTAAGAAATGGTCTGAACAATTCAGGAGAACACACAGGACATCCAGGGGGTGGAGAGAGATAGAACATGGACCATCATTTTCAGTGTTAATATTGACACTCTCAGACAGTTGGTCTTTATTGGTATTTCCCTGTAATCTCAAATTAGACTTGATAAAATGAGTGCTCCTGGCAGAATTGTTAAGAGCCATGAGTTTCCTTAGATAATGCCAGGGAAGGTCCTGTATATCCTGAGGCTCACTGTCCTTCATGCTGTCTCTCCCAATCCTTCGCATATCATTTAGTGTGAGTTTTGAGTTCATATAATCTCCCATTCCCAGCTGTGACTGGAGTTCATTCAAGGTCACTCTACATTCTAGGGGAAGAAAACAAAGTCATCTTTTAATATTTGCACAATGTTTTTAGTTACCGTTAACTAGAGAGACCTGGGAAAAGTATACAAAGTGTTACCTACTATCCAATCAGATTGAATGTTTTGTGTTCTATTTGTAGATACAAATAATATCTCATTGAAGGTGCAGAGTGTAGATCAGATGGATCAGGAATATAAAGATAGGCAGTTCCACTCTTGGTTCATGGCTACCCTACATGGAATGGACAGAATATGACAAACAGCTTGAATGGACCAGGATTTATGCTGACTGTACCCTACACAACACGGCTTAGAGGATAAAAGAAGTGATTTTAATCCTTTGGATGGACAATAAGCTTTCATCTTGAAGATTAAATAATGAAGAAGTATGGACATAATGTTTCACGTTACGTACTATTGCAGGATATATCTATTTTTCTTTTCTGTCTTGTATTTGTTTGGGACTAACATACATAGTAATAGTTTTTATAACGGGTTACTTACATCTAATAAGGGAACGGTTTGATCGTGGCTTCTTGGAGCATACTGCTATATTGTATGTTCAAGAAGAAGTGGGAGGGGGTTGTAGTTAGACTATGCTGCCTCCTTTCCTCGGTCCATACTAAGCTAAGAATGGAACCGTTAGGAGACTCGTTTTTATTCAGGGAGAGTGGTTGGAAGTGTTATGGACAATGAAGCTCTTCCCTTTTGCTTGACTTGAACTACATCAAATAAGTGTGAATGTATCACTTAGTTGTTTGTTACTGGTACACGATGCTGTTGATATTTGATAAGGGGCACCTCAGTTCTCTGACTGTGTAGACAAACATTATTGGGTTACTCTGGTTATTATACACACATTATGTAGCAGTACCAGTCACCATAATGATGTGGCACCATTGCTTGAGAAGTTGAAGTGCATCTTCATGACGACAGGGCCTTGATCTCAGTGTTCTCCTGTCCCATGACGTATTGTATTGCGTCTTGTTGGGAAAAGATTAAACACTTTAAGTAGATTGAAGTTTATTTAAGAAGAACAAGCAACAGGAGACTGGAAGCCTAGATAAAGATCTCCTCTGTCCTTGTGGGAAGGAAAACTGTGACATCGATCTGACCAATGTATGGCAGCTATGGGTTTTGTAAATGGCTCAGAGATTGATTTAAACATTTTTTAAATTAAATATTTTATATATTTACCTGAATCACTGTCCCCTGTCCCTACTGGTTCTCCTTTTGGTGGTACTATTGGTGCTGGAGTGCAGACCTGGTATTCATCTCTCTCTGCTTGTGGCCAGGGGCATTTGGGAGAGACATACTGGTTATCTGTGAAAGTACAAACACATCAGTGTCATGAAGGTAACAGGCTGCCCTCCCCTTCATCGTGATTGGTTGAGTTTGGTCAACCATGGAGGTTCCACCATGGACTTCTATGAAATAAACAATGTGTTCGAGTCCAAGATGGGAATCCGTCAATAAAGCGTGTAGGAAGCCCTAGGAGATCTGTGAAGAGCTGGGTCTCCTCTAAACCTATGCAGTTTTATGGAGGAGTCCATTCACTGATGCTGATGCCTCTGGCTTCCTGATATTACCCTCTTCTACTTCCTATAAGAGAACTGAATGCATGGATTTTTTATTTAATTATTTTCTGATGCTTTGAATATTCCCCCAAAGATAGATACCATTTAATATATTTTTAAAATATGTTTTTACACATAAGGGAAGATGAAAGGGAAAGTGTAAGTAACCATATTATTTTTATTACATTTTACAATGAAAATGTTTCTTTTCTAATACTTTAGACTGCCAATGGATTTGGATCGTTCATGGTGCAAACTGTATGTAAATGAGAGGGAGAGACAGGATATACAGGGAGTGCAGAATTATTAGGCAAGTTGTATTTTTGAGGATTAATTTTATTATTGAACAACAACCATGTTCTCAATGAACCCAAAAAACTCATTAATATCAAAGCTGAATATTTTTGGAAGTAGTTTTTAGTTTGTTTTTAGTTTTAGCTATGTTAGGGGGATATCTGTGTGTGCAGGTGACTATTACTGTGCATAATTATTAGGCAACTTAACAAAAAACAAATATATACCCATTTCAATTATTTATTATTACCAGTGAAACCAATATAACATCTCAACATTCACAAATATACATTTCTGACATTCAAAAACAAAACAAAAACAAATCAGTGACCAATATAGCCACCTTTCTTTGCAAGGACACTCAAAAGCCTGCCATCCATGGATTCTGTCAGTGTTTTGATCTGTTCACCATCAACATTGCGTGCAGCAGCAACCACAGCCTCCCAGACACTGTTCAGAGAGGTGTACTGTTTTCCCTCCTTGTAAATCTCACATTTGATGATGGACCACAGGTTCTCAATGGGGTTCAGATCAGGTGAACAAGGAGGCCATGTCATTAGATTTCCTTCTTTTATACCCTTTCTTGCCAGCCACGCTGTGGAGTACTTGGACGCGTGTGATGGAGCATTGTCCTGCATGAAAATCATGTTTTTCTTGAAGGATGCAGACTTCTTCCTGTACCACTGCTTGAAGAAGGTGTCTTCCAGGAACTGGCAGTAGGACTGGGAGTTGAGCTTGACTCCATCCTCAACCCGAACAGGCCCCACAAGCTCATCTTTAATGATACCAGCCCAAACCAGTACTCCACCTCCACCTTGCTGGCGTCTGAGTCGGACTGGAGCTCTCTGCCCTTTACCAATCCAGCCACGGGCCCATCCATCTGGCCCATCAAGACTCACTCTCATTTCATCAGTCCATAAAACCTTAGAAAAATCAGTCTTGAGATATTTCTTGGCCCAGTCTTGACGTTTCAGCTTGTGTGTCTTGTTCAGTGGTGGTCGTCTTTCAGCCTTTCTTACCTTGGCCATGTCTCTGAGTATTGCACACCTTGTGCTTTTGGGCACTCCAGTGATGTTGCAGCTCTGAAATATGGCCAAACTGGTGGCAAGTGGCATCGTGGCAGCTGCACGCTTGACTTTTCTCAGTTCATGGGCAGTTATTTTGCGCCTTGGTTTTTCCACACGCTTCTTGCGACCCTGTTGACTATTTTGAATGAAACGCTTGATTGTTCGATGATCACGCTTCAGAAGCTTTGCAATTTTAAGAGTGCTGCATCCCTCTGCAAGATATCTCACTATTTTTGACTTTTCTGAGCCTGTCAAGTCCTTCTTTTGACCCATTTTGCCAAAGGAAAGGAAGTTGCCTAATAATTATGCACACCTGATATAGGGTGTTGATGTCATTAGACCACACCCCTTCTCATTACAGAGATGCACATCACCTAATATGCTTAATTGGTAGTAGGCTTTCGAGCCTATACAGCTTGGAGTAAGACAACATGCATAAAGAGGATGATGTGGTCAAAATACTCATTTACCTAATAATTCTGCACTCCCTGTATACGTTTTTGACATTTTCTGGTTCTGTTTGGCAGAACAGTAATTGGACTTAGGGGATTGGTTCCTTCCACTGCGTTTATGTAGGGGGATTAGTATCCCCTGGCCTTTTCTTTATTTTTCACTTTCTATACACTTGGGTAGCACTAGGAGCACTTTTTAGTTCATTTGTTTTTTCAGTATAGTTCTAGGGTTTGTTGGTAGGCACTAGCTGCATGCGGTGCCAAGGTAACAAGGGACAGAGTTTAGTATATGTGGCGGGATTGCCTAAACTGTGAATTGCCTTGTTTCTTTTGCGTGTGCATGTGCCTATTAGAATGTGTGTTCCCCCTCTTTTCTTTTCCTTTCTCTATAATTTGGCCGGTAAAACCACAACACCTTTTGGCCGACCGGGGACGCTCCGGTGCACATTGTCCTCTGCGCCAGACCACCCCAGCACCTCCGTTAGAACGTTTACTTAGAATGTTCACACCTCGCTAACGAGGTGTGAAAACCACAAACCACAAGGGAACGAGCGGCGTGTGCTTCCCTGGGTGGCCGCCGATTCGTATTGCAGAACGCCCAACACGGGGAGCATTCGTCTACTGAATGGTGCTGGACCACCACAATGCTCCAATTAGAACGTTCACACCTCGCTAACGAGATGCGAAAAGCTGCAGACCGCGGGGGAACGAGCGGCACGTGTCGCTCCTGGGTGGCCGCAGGTTCATATTACCAATCGGAGAGGGAACACCCACTCAAACTGGGTTCGTGCATCTCTCCTGTTTGGCCGGCGCGAACAAAGCACTGATTGGTGGCCGCAGGGAGCGAGCGACCAATCCAAGTATGTGCGCTCATTCAAGCAGGGTTTTGCGCTCTTCCATCTGATTGGACAGTGAGGCTCTCCTGTCCCTGGGCACTGTTTGGCGCGAATACGTTTCGTGTCTTTTAGCGGATTGGTGACATCGGGTTTCGCGCCCTATCTTCTGATTGGGCCGCGAAACCCCCTTCCTCCTCAAGCACAGATTGGTGCAGCTGAGTTTCGCGCCCTCTCTTTGGATTGGGCGGTGAAACTCCTTACTCCTTCCAGTTCGGCTGATTGGTTGTTGCTTGGTTTAGGTGTGAAGTTTGAATTCACCAGAATAAACCAAGCGACACAATGGAACTGTTTTCGGGATGTACAGAGCCTTGAGCCACAGACTTCCGATGCTGATATCTCTGGTTCTGTACATCCGATCACCCCACTTTTTGCAAGGATCCCAGATGGGGCCCAAGGCTATCCCCCCATATAAACTGTAACCCTGTACCCCCCGTCCCAGGGCACCAAGCCACAAAGTCACCCCCCTGTATGTGAAATGTACTCATGCGTGTCCCTGTGTCCTGTTAGTATCTCCCAAAGCAGGAGATGGTTATCAGCCCCCCAGCCCCCTCCTGTATGTGGGTTTGTGTTGGGCTGGATGGAGACCCCCCCCGTGCATAAAAAGCTGTGTGCCCAATAAACATTGTCAAAAATTGTATCCTGGAACTGTGTCCTGTCCTGTTACTTGGGAAATTGGTCTGACCTACTTTAGCCAAAGAGGATAACCAGCCAGGTTACCCAGGTTCCGCTACAGTATAGATATCCTTTTGAGGTATTTTTCAACCTCTGCTGTTGGACACGTTGTACCTATGTATGATCTATAGATCAATGCCTTATTTTCATTAGCCTCTGATATGGTGAGTCCACTTGCAGTTCCAGACTTGGACCCCAAGAGTAGAATCGGACTATGTACTAGATATCTATTCGCTTTCTTCCCTAGAGCTATAACTGTTGTATATTCCTTTGGGTTTCCCATTTTAATCTTAGATGTAATAAAGCTAGATTTAGTTTTTTGCGCTGTCTCTCTGGTGAAGTAGACCAGACTGGGATTTTCCTGTTTTCATGGGCTAACTAACTAGGGACTTTGTACAAAAGGAACTTCAATGGCTCAATGTCAGCTCATGGTCAGGGCCCTCTTTATCTTTTGTATTGGTCTGTCTATATTGTACTTGTTATCCCAAATTGTAAAGCGCTGTGGAAAATCTTGGCACTTTATAAATGTCAGTAATAAATAGAATAAAATACAATTATAGTTTGTTTTGTACTGATGCCCTGTCAAACATACAGGTTAACTAGTGACGTTGAGATAGATGGAAGAGAGAGCGATAGTATGACAATTATCGTGATGATAGGGGAGTTTCTCTAGTAGATAGTGGCTCACTCCGCTCACTAAACTTCATTAAAGGGACACTTTAGTCACCAAAATAACTTTAGCTAAATAAAGCAGTTTTAGTGTATAGATCATTCCCCTGCAGTTTCACTGCTCAATTCTCTGCCATTTAGGAGTTAAATCACTTTGTTTATACAGCCCAAGTCACATCTCCCTGCATGTGACTTACCTTTCCTAAACCCTTCCTGTAAAGAGAGATTTAATATTAATACTTCCTTTATTGCACCGTCTGTTTAATTTACAATTTCTTATCTCATGTTCTGTTAATATCTTGCCAGACCCTGCAGGAGCCTCCTCTGTGTGATTAAAGTTTAATTTACAGAGCAGGATTTAAAAACTTTTAAAGTAAGTTACTTCTTATTGAAAGTGAAACCATTTTGTTTTCATGCAGGCTATGTAAGTCACAGCCAGGGGAGGTGTGACTAGGGCTGCATAAACAGAAACAAAGTGATTTAACTCCTAAATGGCAGAGGATTGAGCACTGAGACGGCAGAGACATGTTCTATACACCAAAACTGCTTCATTAAGCTATTGGTTGTTTTGGGTGACAATAGTGTCCCTTTAAGCTAAAGTTGTTCTGGTGCTTGGAGTATTCCTGTACTGACAGTTTTCTACACATTGTATACATTAACAAAACACAGGATTAGAGGGTCTGAGGAGGCTTTCAGTGATATTTAGTAATGTGGAAACAAACCTGGATGTATTGGTGTCTGGGTCTCCTTCTCTTCCTTATCAGGTCTGATAGATCTCACTGTTAATAGATCAATATAACATGTTATCTTCAATGAGAATCTTAGAAACATAGAATGTGACGGCAGATAAGAACCATTCGGCCCATCTAGTCTGCCCAATTTTCTAAATACTTTCATTAGTCCCTAGTCTTATCTTATAGTTAGGATAGCCTTATGCCTATCCCACGCATGCTTAAACTCCTTTACTGTGTTAACCTCTACCACTTCAGCTGGAAGGCTATTCCATGCATCCACTACCCTCTCAGTAAAGTAATACTTCCTGATATTATTTTTAAACCTTTGTCCCTCTAATTTAAGACTATGTCCTCTTGTTGTGGTAGTTTTTCTTCTTTTAAATATAGTCTCCTCCTTTACTGTGTTGATTCCCTTTATATATTTAAATGTTTCTATCATATCCCCCCTGTCTCGTCTTTCCTCCAAGCTATACATGTTAAGATCCTTTAACCTTTCCTGGTAAGTTTTATCCCGCAATCCATGAACCAGTTTAGTAGCCCTTCTCTGAACCCTCTCTAAGGTATCAATATCCTTCTGAAGATACGGTCTCCAGTACTGTGTTCAATACTCCAAGTGAGGTCTCACCAGTGTTCTGTACAATGGCATGAGCACTTCCCTCTTTCTACTGCTAATACCTCTCCCTATACAACCAAGCATTCTGCTAGCATTTCCTGCTGCTCTATTACATTGTCTGCCTACCTTTAAGTCATCAGAAATAATCACCCCTAAATCCCTTTCCTCATATGTTGAGGTTAGGACTCTATCAAATATTCTGTACTCTGCCCTTGGGTTTTTACGTCCAAGATGCATTATCTTGCACTTATCCACATTAAATGTCAGTTGCCACAACTGTGACCAGCAAAAAGACATACCTTACCATCAAGACCTTCTGCAATATCACTAATAAAAATATTAAAGAGAATGGGTCCAAGTACAGATCCCTGAGGTACCCCACTGGTGACAAGTCCAAGCTTCGAATATATTCCATTAACTACAACCCTCTGTTGCCTGTCACTAATCACTACTCAGCACCTTGTTCAAGCTCGTGGAGGATTCAGTGGGGAAAGCTCCTGTAAGGACTACAGCTCCCAGGACTGTGTGTCGTCCAGTCCGAGGGTGAATATAGCTAGTCCCCTATCCGGTTCCAGGACGGAGAGGCTCCAGGAGGACCCTAGTCCAGCCACAGGGGCAGAAGCGCTGAGGTTTTCCCCTGTTCCAGCTAGGAAGCAATCCTTGGAGGAGATACCCAGCCAGGGTACAGGGATCTCCGCTACACTTTGTTTTAGTTTCGGGCCACTTAGCACCTATTTAACTTTCTGGAACTGGCTGTATCTAATCAATGCTGGGACTCATCCTTTTGCAGAGAGTGTTTGCCCTTATGTCGGGTAAATACATCAATTTAGTTTCCTCAGTTCTGGGCACCTATTCTTAGTTGACCAACCCTTGACCTTCTCAGGTTTAGTCATCCTTGGTGTTTATTACTATCTCATATCTTCCGTGTTCAGGAGTTTCATTATGTTTTTTCCAGCTTGTTTTATAAGTGTCTTTTGCAGCCTTATTACAGTTATCTTGTCTCAGTGACCAAAGTACAAAATATAACCAAACGCTTAGGGAAAGGAACCTGTATTGTTACGTCAGTGGCGGTTCCTCCAGACTATTCCCGACAGGTATACTGCAATATTACAGAGAATAAAGTGTGTGTCTCACCTTTCTTCAACTCCTCCTGAAGGTCTATGCTGGCCTGTCTCTCGTTAATCTCTTCCAGCACACGAGTGATGATATTTGGGGCATGTTTTTTAGTGTAGTATCTGATAATGTAATCCGTTGTGTCTTCATGGTTTAGACTCTCAAGCTCGCTCCGAGGAATATATCTGCATGCTGGAGGTAACTCACATGATCTCAGTTTGCTTTTAAATGATTTAAAGCTGCGTTGATTAAGGTTTTTCAAAGCATATTCCAAACAATTTCTTTCTTTATCAGACATTCTGAATTTCTCCACCTAAATTTAAGGGGTTCCAGTTGCCTGATCCAAAACGGACCAGAGATCAACATTAGGATCTCTTCTGCGACATTTACCTGTTTGAGAAAAAAGCGAATCCTTCCTTACTGGTTGATACGATTCCATTCTAATAGTTTCTATAAACATATAGATAAATATAAAATGAAACAACACAACAAGTGAAACTGATTGTGAGACCAAGAGCTGACATAATAAAGTATATAAATCAGGATAAACCAAGGTAAGAGGTATAGAGAAAAAAACAATATTAACCCTTAAAATCACATATATCAGTTTAAAATGAAATACTTTCCAAATTCAACATTAAACCTTAAAACCAGTGTTCTTTCTGGTTGATACAATTCCATATTGGATAACTTCCATAACAAAGTGAAATATAATAAATACGGAATCTAGGACCCAAACACACACGATTTGTGCTAGACACGTTTTTTTCTTGTATAATTACACTTTAACAGACACTGGAAATTCCTAGCCATATCTACTATCCACGACGCCCCGATTATTTTACTCAAATGGACTATTGGTCACACTCTGCTCTGAATACTATTTCTAGCTTTGATAAACCGTTATCCCATGTTCCGAATTAATAGATTTTACCACGCGATGATTAATAGGAATGTAGGTGTTTTTAATCAGTCCCAGCTGTCCCTCTTTTTCACCCTCGTTGGTCAGAGAACTTGCAATTCCTGATCTGTAAAGATCAATATTGTCTCTACTTCTTTGTTTGAAGTGTTTACGTTTTTTTCTTTGATTTGTGTTTTACTGATACTGATATGGTATTGCCATGTTGCCTCATATTAAATAATGTGTGTGAATCTCAAAAGCGATACCTATAGTATTCCGGGATGTTCTCTGGCATGTAGTCTTTTTCTTTATGAAACAAAATAACATTACAAAGATTTGCTTTAGACTGTGTACTTACCTTTAATGCTAAAATTCATCATTGTAACATAACATTGAGGGAAATGCAAATAAGTAACAAAGCACATCTTAATTCCAGAAAAAAATATATATTCTCAGCAAAAACAAACCCACCTAATGACACATAAACGAGCTCCGTGAAATAACACAAAATTAAAAAGTGACACGCTAATCAATAGCTCTCACAAAATACGGAGTTTAAAATCGCCTTAAGGATGCCCAAAAAAGCTTGCAATCAAAATTCAATTAGGCCACTAGAGCGAAACTAAGCTAATCTCGAGTTAAATCATCGCAACCGATGTCTTCTCATTGGAAAACCAACATTAAGGAAAGATGGGGTGCTGGCTGATAGAAAATGACTATGTTTAGCGGATAACTGTCATTCATTTTTTAATTATACTAATATAAAATAATGTTATAGTATACGATCTCATTCATTTTATTATTATGGGGAAGGTAGGCAAGTGACTTCTTCAAAACCTTCAATATACATGAATAAAAATATACTGAGATGGTATATTGTAAGATATAGATGATATTAGGATATTAAAACATTTTAATTACAGATTTCATTAAATATGGAGACTCTAAAAATCAGGTCTGCTGTAAGGAAAACAGTCAATAGCAACACTGTTGTCACTGCCAATGAAAATAACGGAGGAAGCTAGTGAACCAGACTTGTTTTAGGCAATTTAAATCCCAGAGGTTTAGTTGGTATATAGTAACTTTCAATAAGAGACATTTAATCACTGTGTGAATTGTGTGACAGATTAAATAAATAAATGTTGTGTTTACCTTTATGTAGACATACCCTCTGCTCTCGGAATCCCGTACATGAATGAATCTTGATTTCATACTTTTTATTAGTACAGTTCCTTGTTTTGCATTCCTCCTCTCTGTGCTATTCCTGTAACAGGATAGTGTTTGTACTTTTACCTTTATTATGCATTACTGTGAGCACGTAATAAACGAAAAACATGGAAAGTGGCGTTTACGGTCACAGATTGCCGAGAGACTATAGCGGCCTCTGTTATTTATAATCTACATAATGAGGGAAAGTGCCGAGTGCAGTCATGTCTCCTATTATTACATCTTTTGTCAACAAGGAAGTGCCCTCTGGAGGAACAAAAAGATGTATCTGAGACGAAAGTGAAAGGGCAGCTCACTAGAGAAGGACATGGATGGTGAAAATGCAGTGATGGCTTTTTTTTTAGGCCTATGGGGGCACTTTTGGGAGACCTGTCATTTCACTATTACTGCTCATCTCCCACCTAAACCTTACTGCCCAACCATCCCCTCAGGAGACGTGACCTCACATTGGATTCCCGCCAAGAAATGTATCATTATTTTAACAATCAACTTTTCAGAGTTGATACCAAACTGTCTGAAAGGGAAATTAAACATGTTAAAATTCTACAATACGACATACGAGAGAAATGAGAGATCCAATCAGGCCCCTCATAGAGTCCTTACACTTAAATAATGAAACTAATAAATGGAATTAATGTATTTATCGGACATAGGGATTGGGACTAAAAAATGACCACGGCACAATATGGATAAAAATGTGTTTTATTATGCCATAACAGAGGGATAAAATATCTATAGTAGAACACAAAGTGAATTAAATATAAAACTACAGAGAATACAGAGAATTAGAAGGTTAATTACATTAATGTTACACGTCAGTTTGTACGTTTAGAATACACTTTCACAAAGATAAAAGGTATTTATCACACTGGAGATGACCAAAAGCAGTTTATTGTTACCGCTCACTTTTCCTCCTAGGAATTAATTAGGTGTAACTACTTGTTACCATTTATCAATATCCCAAATTCAGGATAATCAATTGTGCAATTACACCAGTTATTTTCAATGTGTGGCCCCTCGCGGTAGTCTGAGCCTACTGTGATCCTTGTCTGCAGGTAGCACGGTCCTCTAGGGTAAACAACAGGCACAGCCCTTTTATTTGCAAATAATCCAGGCACTTTATTTGTAAGTCCACACAGGAGACAGCAGCAAATGAAAACATAAATATAACACAAATCCCTATAAACAAAAATCTAGCTCGTCTGATCACTTACTAACTTCAGGTTCCCTATCTCTCAGAGGTTAAACTATAACTAAACAATATTGGTTTCACCAACCTAGTGTCTTTGTCAGCTCTCTGCAGTCCAGTGCTAAGTCAGCCTGTTGCTTTCCTTTCTACACTCCCAGTGCTCCAAGCCAGCCTTGACTGCTTTCCTTTCTGCACTCCCAGTGCTCCAAGCCAGCCTTAACTGCTTTCCTTTCTGCACTCCCAGTGCTCCAAGCCAGCCTTAACTGCTTTCCTTTCTACACTCCCAGTGCTCCAAGCCAGCCTTACCTGCTTTCCTTTCTGCACTCCCAGTGCTCCAAGCCAGCCTTACCTGCTTTCCTTTCTGCACTCCCAGTGCTCAGTCTCATTGACTCTCTCACTGGAGAGAACAGACTCTCTCCTACTTGCTTCCAGGGAGGAAGCCAGCAATCCCCCTTTACCTGCCTAGCAGGGAGGGGTTTATTCCCACTGCTACAGCTGATTATCTGCAGCTGATCAGTGGGTTGGAGACAGTTCCAAAAAACTCTGGCCTGGACCTTATTTCTCCCAGTTGTGTATAAACTGAGGAGTGGAGCATTGGCCCACCCTGCTCTCCAAATGCTCCACCCCAGGGGCCCATAACTAAACTTTGGTTTGTGTTGCCTACAACACATCCTACACATACTCCCCCTGGGGTTAAATGTTATAGGCCTATCTGCCTTCACTTTATCACACTACGCTTAGCTCTACTGAGAATTGACTGCTGAGAACAATGATTATTGATTTCATTTAACTGAATAGTTTGATCCATAAAATCAGTAAATGGAGAAGCTGTACATGTTTTTTTATTTCCAATTTATTAAACACAACACAGTGAGATTATATTCCTGTTGTTTATAGCAGAGAGAGTTATTAATGTATCAGTATTATGACTCAGAGTACAAATAAAGAGATCGTTATTATTCACACGTAGAATGAGCTGCAGACACAGGACATGATAACAGAGGGTTGGAAAAGCCTCATACGAGAAACACAGTCTTATAGAGAATTGACTAATTGGAGAGATCTATCTCAGTTACGTGTTAGTGTTATAGTTACAAACCATTAACATGTCCAGTAGGTTTGTAGGTGATATTATTACTAGGTATAACTGGTGCCAAGCCTCCTTCAGCCTGACGTTGGCAAGAATCAGAAGAACGGATTGAACAGGGACAAATAAAAACCCCAGGACAATTTGTATCTGATCCCAAAGAGCATTGTGGGTGGTATTTCCAAAAGTATAGATAAACATGTCCAAATAAAACATCCAATAAAACCATAGAAATCTCATCATTGTATCTGCAGCAGTTTGGTGAGATTCCAGGTTGGTGTTGCCAAATTTCCCATCGGACTTCTTCATAGTACGAACATGCAGCCTGAGGAACCCAATGGTACAGATTGTAGTGATAGTTATAATGAGGAATGGTGTACAGTTATTAGCAAATAGAATGATTAAGAATAATGAACTGTAAATAATTCTTCCAGATGTTGGGTTGGCTGAAAAGATTTTTGATGTGTGGTTGAATAATTCTTGATCTTCTTCATCATTAAAGGCTAACAGGAAAAGGAAACTGGTACAAAAAGACACGACTTCTACCACCATGATAAGCCAGGGCACCTTAACATCTATCTGCAATTTAATCCGAGCCAGAAATCCCACCCTGAAGTTTATTATCTTAATAAAATAGAGGAAACACAGGCAGGCGGTCAGCCAAGAAGAAGATGTAAAACTGAACATTAACACATAACTAAAAATAAAGTCACAGTAAACTAAGTTAGAATCTTGTAGAAATATTCTGCTAATTAAAAATATAACATTGACCATGTTGGCAACACTCAGAGCAAGGAGTATCTTCATGTTACTGCTTATATTTTTATTTTTCATAAAATCCATGAAATTGACAAACCAGATAAAACCATTTAGAGAAATCCCAACACTAGTCTC